ACTTATTAGCCTTTATCCTAGCCAGGGGAAAGCAGCTGTGAGACCTGACACCACCCTTAGAGCACCTACAGACCTGACAATCTTAGAGCAGCTAGGGAAGAGGTCACTTGCACTTTTAAGTCATTGCAAAAGAATCTTTCCATAAAGGATGACTCTGGTGGTAGTGCTGGTCTCCTGAACCACTTCATCCTGCATCTCCTTGCTCTGAAATGGTGCCAGTCCCAGGAACTTCGATACGCAGGATGCAGCTCATCCTGTGCCTGCTCTAAGTGGGCATTAAAGCATGAGAGCTCTCAGATCCTGCCAGCCCACATGGGATTCAAAGCAGTGACCTAGAGAGTTGCTTTAAAACGTGCACAGAAGTCCGAATTGACAGCAGCATGTTCATGATGAGATTTTTCAGCAGCACTCAAGATGAAAGAGCAGATGGTGCTGATGGGCGAGCAGGGTTATAAGGTACAGGATGGGATTGTTACCATGATAATAACAAGACAGCCAATCCCACAGTGTTTCCTAGTAGGCTGGAAGAGGATAGTTCCCTGTGGGCCTCCATGTGACTCACAAATGTCTGGCAACACCGGCCTTGGGACACTTTGGATGCCTCATTTGTTCATCATGTTGGCTCTGAGATGTAGCCACTGATCTGGGTTTGGGCATTCTGACCCCTTTCCTCACTGCCCGTGTCCTGGGAAGCCTTTTAGGTTGTAAAGTATTTCAGTACAGAGCTGGTGTGGTTCTGGGTTACTTCTAAAGCAGAAAGGCTGTTATGGAACGTGGGTACTTTGAAGTGAACCAGGTATTTTCAAATTTCGAGCTGGGGGAATGCTGGTCATGTTGGAAGGCATGCAGGAGCTTCAGCACCTGCACTTCACTTATAGAATCCATGTTACTCTATACTGCTCTGAGCTTGGGAAAAACTTTCTCTCTTAGTGGACTGGCAGCTCCCACAGGCCCTGCTCTCAGCCTCATGTAATCTCCCTGAGATCCCTGCTTTGGCTGCTGCATTAGGAGCCACTCTGAACTGAAAAACATTTCAGAATCCTTTTCATTTATACTTATTCCAAATTGCTTTTATTTTTTTTTCCCCCACAGGCTCATTATAAAAATTACTGTAAACATTATCTAAACTTTGTGCTCGTTGTTTATGTGCTGTTTCTTTCAGCATCCCCACACTTCACTCTGCTGGTTGGGAAGTGTGAAAGCTATTATGGTAATAGGGAGGGAGATGATTTTCTGCTCTCCTAGTGCCAAGAAGACAGGAATGGATGTAATTCATCTTGGCCCTGCTGCAAATGCATCATCTTGCTTTAGCCTCCCTGCACATACACAGAGGTTCATTTTGCTTGGCATAAGGGTCAGGGCTCTTTAGCTTCCTCCAGGGTTGGTGTAGCTTGGCTCTGCTGTGCAAGTGGGTTCTTCAGGGCATTGATACTGCCATGTGAAATAGTGAAAATAGGTGAAATAGTGTCTGGTTGGCTCCTTTCCTTCCTCCCATGTGGCACCAAGCAGGTACTCTGACTCAACAACAAACCTAAAGTCAGAGAGTAAAGGAGGAGGTACATACTGCTCTTAGGAGGCTTAAAAATGCACTCAGTACTCACTGTTACACTGCACATTGCATTAGTGTGTGATTAGCTTTGTCATGGGGAATAATTGAAATGAACATGGATCGATATCTAAATATACATTAGGGTGTATTAAAAGGCTTAGAACCAATGGTCTGTTAAAAAGGAGGTTATTTCAATTCCTTTGTACACTGTCTCACAGTTGAAATGGTGTATTAGAGTATAGCAAAACCTCCTGAATAAATCAAAGTATGATTATTCTGGGAGAACTGTGAGAATTCTATCAAAACATGGTTCCCTTTGCAGGGCCATATAAAATGCATCATGATTGTGGCTGTACGAACTCAGAACTGGAAAAGCACATTATTTCATGTTATTGATGGTGATTGAAAGAGCAGGTGTGGGCTAACAGGGTTTTGGAGGTGAGTGCTGCAGCACCTTTAGGGATGGATCCCTGCCCGAGGTGGTGTTTGTCTGGCAGCCTGTCCCCAGGAGGTGAAGATGAATGTTGTGAAACAGAAGTGAATCTGTTGTGTCATGCACCACACAGATTATAGCTCTATAAAACTGGAACACCAAATACATCTCAGAGAAAGTGCTGACACTGTAGGTTTGGAAATAAATGGTGTATTTTGTTCTACTGCAAAGATGAACGGAGTGTTGAAAACTTAAGCTGGTGTGTACTTCGTGTGTGCAAACCTACCCAGCTGTCGGTGTTGTAAGGAATCACCAGGCTCTCCTGATGCTGCCAGGGGCTATTTGTGGATGATGATGTGGGGGTTTTCAACAGTGTGACAAAAAATGAGCAATCTGTGGCACGATGGGCCCATCCCTGCCTGGCTGGGGGATGTGATGGCTGGAAATTCTGCATCTCCATTCCCTGCACTGCACTTGTCCTTTGATTGCAAAAGGACAGCTCTCGAGGGATGTCGCTGTGCATTTTCCTGAGATAAAATAATAGCTCTGTGTTTTGTGACCCTGGAACTTTAGGTCCTGCCAGATGCTAATGAACCAGTGGAAAACATCCAGGGCCTAGTAATTGCTTTGAGCCACAGCTGTTTGTGCTTGGTACGGGTGGCGGCTCTCGCCTCCTCGGTGGCTGCACCCTGTGATGCTGCCCGGGGCCCCCCCGGGGATCCTGGGTCAGTGCAGGGAGCAAACTTCCTCTAATTGGGTACAAGAGAGCGTGGTGTCCGTGTGGACGGCGGCTCTTGACACACCACACATGTGGTGTGTGCAGTGAATCCCGGGCAGGGCTGCAGGGAATGTGTCCTGCTGCCGGGATGGAGGAACAGTCGCAACTGGGGAGGCAGCAAGGCTCCTGCACTGACCTGATCTCATTCAATCATGCAGCCAGATCTGTCCTATTTATCCATTTGCTCCTCCAAAAAGCAGCTTTTTTGGGTGCAGAAAATAGAAGGTGCTAATAAAAATCAATGTTTTAATTTTCTTTCTATGTTACTCCCTGTAGGAGGCCTTCTCATAGTTCTGAAAAGGGCTGGGGCATTTTACCTTTTAGCATAGGTCAGCTGTCCCACAGGAAGGCAGAATTAAAGGGAGAGTGGGAATATTTTTCTGTGGCATCAATGGGAAGTAATTTCTGACAACTACAGCTGTGGAAGGCCATGATTTGAACCAGCCCAGCTGACCACATGGAGCAGGATGGGAAAGGACTTCACCCCAATTCCCTTCCTGCTGAGCAGAGAAGGGTGGGGCCCTAAGGGAGAGTGGGGCTGAGCAGGGAAGGGGTCTAAGGGCAGAGCAGGGCTGAGCAGCCTCAGCTCCACATACATGCAGTGGTTGTTATTGGTCAATATTGATGTTTGGATGCCTTGTATAAGTCTTAGTTTATGAAAAGTTCTAAAAACCTCTGCTGGAGGTGAATGGGTAGCCAGGCTCTCAAAGTCACAGCTTTCAGATGATGCACTGAACCGTTATCAGCACTGATAGTACTTTCAAGGTGAGTAATATTGACAAACTGGGTTTCAGGATCTGTTTCATATGCTTTATATTTCTGTGTGTGCATATAGTTGGAGATGGTAAGTCAGTTGTAAATGTCTTTATTCCATCTCACTCTGCCTGTGAAAAAGAGACCTAGAAAAGGTAAAGAGAGTGATGAAAAGGATCTGTGGAGACATGCACAGCTTCCATACAAGGAGAAATTTAATAGTCTGTGAGTCTCTGGTCCCCAAAAGGTGTAATATAAGGGAGACAAGAAAAATCCATAAATTCATGATCTGAAGATGATGCAAAACAAATTTTTCTCTTTTATTGGGGTAGAGTACTGTGAGACTCCCACTTAAATAACCAGATAGCTGGTTAAAACAGCAAAATGAAGTGACTTTTTGCTTCTATGGTGAAGTTCTGAACCTTGTTCAGCATCTTATGGAAGCATAAAGAGGTTCAGCTACCTGTGTGACAAATTCAGCTCCTGTTTTAATACATATGATACTGAAGGCACATCCTTGGACCTGAGATTTCTGACATTGTTTCCTTGTGCATCGGGAAGTGTTGAGGCACGGGATGCTGGGCCAGATAGCTCTGCTCCAGTACAGCCCTGGCTGTGCACAGTGGAAGCACAGGAGGCTGATTATATTCACCCTGTAGTTTGTAATGTGATATTCACTGCTCCATGGCATGCAGGGAGCTGGGAGATTTGCAGCCAAATGAATGTGTCACTTTAAACCAGAGTCAGGGAATTGGGCAGTGTTTCTGAACAAACATCCTGACCAGTGGCTTCCTGGGATTTATTATGCATTAGTTTCATATTGGTAGTGGTGGTTGGTTTGGTTTGTTTTTTTTTCTTACAGATGTCCTTGCAGATATTATTTTAAAACATGAGCCTGACAGCATCACAGCTCACCAAGTGTGACTGTAGAGGTGGGGCTGAAAAGGGGGTATCAGGAGAGAGCCTGGCTCCTGAGGACTTGCTCCAGTTCCTCGGCAGCGTTACTGCAGCTGCAGAATCGGAAAGGAGATATTTGCTTTATGCTTAAGAGGCTTTATTGTTTCTAAACTATATATAGTCCTGTAATCTTTCTTTCGATGGGGGAGGGTATTGCGGGACAGCCTCCAAAGCATCGCTACCCTGCCTGGTGGGCGAGCAAGGGGTTAACGCGGCGGTGCAGGGTCCTCGGAAGGGACCAGCTCATTGTCAAAATAATGTTTAGCCAGGTGTTAATCTGTGTCTGGAGGGAAGTGCTGGAATTCATTATTCATCCCACTGGGGGAGGTCATGGTCCTGGGAGGCTGCCAGCGCCGGAGCCAGCCTCCTGGCTTTACTGACATGTGCCATTTGTGATGAATGCAGCTGAAGTCCATTTGAGGAATGCTGCTGTCAGGCAGCCAAGCTGCCAGCGAGCGGGGCTGAGCGGGGCTGAGCCGCTCGCAGCTCCCGAGCAGGGAGAGACCGCGGCGGGAGGGCAGGAGGGGACACGGCAGCGCCGGGCACAGCGAGGGCTTTTCTCCTCGTCTTTCTCTCCCCTAAATCCTGTGCTCCCCTTGGAAAACCGCCCGCTCTGTCGGGGAGGGTGCGCTGCTCGCCGTCAGCAGGATAGGTTTGGGTTGCTTTTTGGTTTGTAACGAGGGCAGGAGGTGAGACAATGATCAAGTCAAGTTGGTTCTACGTCAAGTTCAAGCATGCAGAGAAGGTAAGTCCTGCAGGGACACTCGGTCCCGCAGCCCTTCCCCAGCGCCCCTTCCCTGGGCAGCAGCGGGGAAGTTTCCCCGCGGGTTGGTTTTCCAGGGATGAGGCTGTGCCGAAAGCCGGAGCAGCGCAGGGCACGGGCTGGGAATGTGGCAGCAACCTCAGCACTGTGCGGGTCGGGGAGAGAAGCTCGGATCTCATTCCTCCAGTGCTGCGTCAGGAAAAAAAAATAAAATAGTAGAAGTGGTAGAGATGCGTTTGTTTTCCCCTTGTGGAGCTTGAAAGGGAGGGATATTTCTGGTTCCGCGGAGCCCGTTATGAGATGTGACCTGCTTCTGCAGGGAGGTCAGTTCTTCTCTTCTTCTTTAGCAACTAAGTGTTTAATTGTCCGTAATTATTACGGGAAGAAAGAAGCTGTAGCGAGATGTATTCCAAGGCTCTTTGCTGGGGGTTTACTGCGGAGTTTGCTGTATTTCCTCCTGCACAGAACAGAGTGCTTTCCGTGGGTTTTCCTTTGACACTCAGCTTCCACTTCACGTCGCCTGCCCCTCGGTACCCAGGTGCCTGGGGGAAACGGAGGGACGGGGATGGGGAGAGGACGGACCAAGATTGCAGCGAGGACCTGCTTAACAATGATGCATTTTCACTGGAGATCTCCCTGGAGGGTTTCCTGCCCCGGGTTAGAGGCTGGTCTGGTTGTCAATAGTGCTGAGAAACCCTCAGTATGTGGATGTAGCTTTGCTGTTTTCTTTAATCCAGCAAAATAGGGAAAAGAGCAAGACAACTTTTTTTTTCTTTTTGTGAAAATACTAAGCAGCCTCACTATCTGTTCCCTAAACATCCTCGAGCAGTTTGCAACTTGCTGTTCTTAAAACTGAGAGGAAAGCCTACGCGTGTGCTGTTAGACTGAAATTTTCTATTCTGGCAAATAGTCCCACACTGATTTATTTCTTGTCTTTGTGCCTCAAGTTATACTGCATATATATTTCATTTAACAAGAAGCATTTATATTTCATTTAACAAGATTGTCCTATCATTCATCCTAGGCTGCAAATAGCATATTTAACAGTCTCAGATGTAACTTCCATTTTTGTTTGGTTTGGGCAGTCTCAAAAAGGCTGCAAAACCCACATTATTAGGCATTTATATATTATCTCCTTGATGTTTCTCTACTATAATTCTATGTTCTTTAAATCATATCTGCCCTATAAATATCTATATCAAAACAAATCACCTCAGCATATTTACCATATGGAAGTTCCTGGAAATAAAAAGCTAAGGAAATCGGTAGTTATTTGCCAGAGGGTGAAGCTGGCTATTTGAAACTCATGGGGATTTCTCTTTCTTTTACATTTTGTGATTCAGTTTCTTCTTTTTTTTTTTTCTTTTTCATAGCCCTTGCAGTTCATTCAGAAAGCCCTCGAGTCCCTGAACACAGCAGATAATGTTCCTGCTTTGCTGTCACCGGGTGATTCTCTGTGTGTGTTACATAACCTGTCATACCAGCTTTGTCAGAGACAGATATTTTTGAGATCTACAACCTGGGAAATTTGATCATGGATGAAATCCAGGAAGCCCATTTAATCTGTATTCTTAGAGTTACTTGTGCCTTTACAAGACTTTCTTCCGATTCACCAGGGAAGTTGCCAAGTCTGTTCATCTGTTGGGGGGGGGGAATCCCCAAACCATAATGCACACACTTAGGAAGACAAAAACTGAAGTGCATGTCTGGTCTTTTATTGGATTTCCTGTGTGATAAGAGACTGTTATCCATTTGGGTTGAAGTGGGGGTTTCTTAATGGGAGGCTCAGGAGAAATTTTGGTCTTGGCTATGAGGTGGGGCTGTCCCCCTCACTGAACGCAGGATTTTGTGTCAACGTTCTTATTGTGGCTGGGGCTTCTTCTGCATTAGCTTCAAGTCTTGTCTGCCTGTGAAAGTTGTACTAGTATGGCTTGGGTGTGAATTGACGCTGAATGTATTAAACTGGTGCAGTTCTCTGGCGGGGCTCTCTGGGTACACACTCTGTCAAACAAGTGTTTCTGTGATAGTGTAACCACAGTGGCTTAAAAAATTAGGTCAAATTCTTTTGCAACTTCTCTGTGTTGTCAAGGTTTTAGAAATTGGGTTTATGTGAGCTAAGCTGAAGAACCTTTGAAATTCTCAAACCAGCTTTTTATGGCAGTTTGTCTAAGTGGATTTAGAATCTCACTTGGAGATGCAGTTTCTCCTTTTCAGCTGACACAAGTGTGGGCTGCTGCAGGAATGAGTGCTCCCACTCCCAGTTGTCAGCAGTAGTGTTTGTGCAGCCACCTGGGGAAGTGACCCAACCCAAACTGAAGGGGTTTTATTCCTTTTTTGGGCTGGCTTTGTTTTCAGGCAGGTCAGATGTGTCCCAGCTCACCACAAGTGTACAGCAAGGTGTAGCTGGGAATACCTGGGTGAGTGTGAGTAGAAAGGACAGTGATGTCTCTCCTGGCAGCAGCCTGTGAAAATTAAATTAATTTAAGTTTACTCTCCCCATGTGGAAGTGTTACATAATCTCTGTGTAAGGCAGGTCATTTTAGGTTAGGGAAAGGTTGTGTCTCTGCCCTGCCGTCAGTGCAGTATCTCGGTTAATCAGAACTGGAGCTGCTCTTCCTGTGTGTGCTGCAGTGCTGACATGGCACTGCTCCCTCCTAATTCTCTTCTAAAGAAGTTCATTGACATTTTTATTAGCTGGCTGGCTTTGCTGAAGTTGATGTCCTTGCCTCTGGCCATCACAAATATTTTCTTTTTTTTTTTTCTTTTGATTTACTTCGGAAGATGTTGAGGTCTGAAGACCCCACTGTGATAAAGCATATATATTTATATACATGTCAGAGGTAACTCTGCAGGTAGCTTTTATATTGTAAAATATTCCTTCCCATATAGATTGTCAACCTGTTTTATTCTCTTGGCATCACTACACTTTCCTGCCATAAACTGTTCTATTGATTGGGTTTGAACGCTGCTCATCCTGTTTGGATTATCTGCAGCCTCTGCAGACAGACCTGAACCAAGGTGTGCTGATGTAACTTGCCTGAGCTTCAGAGATTCAACCCTCACGGGTCTTCTGGGAGCTTCCAAAGTCATTGGGTCCACCTGGCACCTTGACATCTCTTAACCAGTTAATTTTAGGTTATCTACCTGCTTGTGCAGAGGCTGGTTTGTACTGGTGGGCAGTGGTCACGCATCTGCAGCTGCAACACAAAGCCTGCAAAATGGTCTTCAGCTGTCTTTGGATGCTCACCTTGTATCCTAAAGACATGTTGGAACTGGAAACAGAAGAGAGAGGCATTGGCTGTATTGATGTGTTAGTTTGCTCAAGTCATCCAAACTTTATTTTAAGTTGTCTAAACAAGCACTATAAACCCTTTCACAGCTATGTATTTTTAGTTGTGATTAAAATAATCAGATAATAAAACTAGCTAAAGTAGAAATCCACACGATTTCATCTTTGAGTCTGCTATCATGTTAATTGCTAACATTCTGAAACACAAACTAAAAGGGAGCCTACTGGATAAGCCCCAAAGTTTTTATGTTTACCCTTTCAGAGATCTAATATGAGGTCGTTTGGCCACGAGCCACTTTCACACAATACCCGTATTCAGCCTGAGTGCATTTACACTGGAATTAAAATTCAAAAGCTCCATGCAAATAATAGTGCTGACACTAGGAAATCAGTTTGATCTGAGGGGGAAAGAGAAAAGGCAAACTCTTGGAAAATCTATGAAATTCTAGAAAGTGTGGGAGATGTGTGGAGAGAGGCAGCGTGAGTGGGCAGTCTGGCTTCACGTGTTACTGCCTGGGTGGGAGGGAGCTTATGGGTGAAGCTGGAGGACTTGAAAGGTTTTGCATTGTCCTTGAAAAGCCCTGTCCCTTGTTTGAGGTTCATTGATAGATATTGCTGAAGTGAAGCTTAATTTTCCTGTTCCCAGCAGTGCCCAAGGGAAAGAAGTGCTGTATTTCTAGCTAGAAAATTAGATTAAAACACCCAGTACCTAGATCCAGGGTGCATTCATTTCATCCTCTCTTATAAGACTCTCACTGCTCTGAAAGGCAGTTTACAGTTTTGACAGCTAAAATAAAAAGCCTGAAGGACAAGCAACCACTTTAAATGTTAGAAGGGCTTCATTTCCAGCAGAAAGATTTCAATTACAGTAATTTTCCTCCAGTAAGTACAAAGAGGTAAATGGAACCCCTGTTTCAAATGTTAAACTCACAGACTACATTATTACCAGTTGTACTTTGAAAGTAAAGGATAAAGCCAATCTAAATCAAAGCCCTGCTTCCAAATTACTTTTTAAGAGTATGATGAGGTCTGCACCCGGTAATTCAGCCACTCTGCATTGAGCAGCACAGAGCACATCAAATGTGACTTCCATTAGACCGTGCTGCTCTTCTGGGGGGATCCAAGCAGGAAGCACTGAGAGCTGCATCTTGAAAGGGCTGCTCTGCAGCTGGAGATTCAGGAGTTGGCTGTCTTTTTAGAGAATTTAGGGTGGTTTTTTTTTCGTCCCCGACTCTGCTCGTTATTTGTCGTGTCCCTTTTAACAGTAATTTGACAAAGGTTTGGTTGTTTATCTCCTGTGTGGCACAGCCTCTTCTCCCTCCCGCTCCCTGCAACGAGGTATTTCATCCGAGACCACTTCCTCCCCTTGCTGGGGTGGGGAACACATTTTCAGGAGTCCGTGGTTTTGAGGCCAGATACTGAAATGTGCACAGTGTTTGCATAATGCAGTGGCTCTAAAGAGCCTGATAGCCAAGGTGATAAATCAGTCTGGTGACCTGAGCTCACCGAAACATTCATTTTCCCTGGAATGATGAACTCTTCCAGAAATCTGTACCCACGGCTGGATGGAGTCAGGGATAACTGCTTGAGTCGGTGGCTTTCTGGGTCAGACCTATGCCCAGAAGCACCTGAGGAGCAGCAGGGATTTAACCAGCCTGCTCCTGGGGCTGCTCCCTGTTCCAGTGGCAATGAAACCCCTCCCTGCTGGTGCCTGAGAGGTGGGTACCCACCTGGTTTTGCTCCAAAAGTGTTCACTGGAGATAATTGTGCTAATTTTATTTATTTATCTTTGCTACTTGTTTTCCTCGTTGCTTTGTAGATGGATTTTTGCAGGTGTGAAATCAGATGTTGCTCCTTAAACTGGTGGGAACGATCAGCAAAGGGTTGTGTCTTCCTGAATTACTCAGCACAGACACCTGGTTCACTATTTTTGTCATTTTTAGCTGCTGAAATTTTTTTGCTTTCCTGCCTATGACTATTACAAGTTTGCAATTTTTTTTAATTGTGTTGCAACTGTGACTGCCAGCGTTTTAGGGAAAGGAGTGAAATTCATCATTTTATGTGCTTGTGAACAGAGATTGGGCCTAATGAAGGAAAATAGATGTAGGAATTTAATTTACTTGTAAATATGGATTATTATAAATCATAAAATGATGGAATGGTTTGGGTTGGGAGGGACCCTAAAGATCATCCCATTCCACCCCCTGCCATGGGCAGGGACACCTTCCACTAGCCCAGGTTGCTCCAAAGCCTATCCAAACTGGCCTTGGACACTCCCAGGGATGGGGCAGCCACAGCTTCTCTGGGCAACCTGTGCCAGGGCCTCACCACCTTCCCAGGGAAGGATTTTATCCCAACCTCTAATGTGCCCTTGTGCTTCAGGAGCCTGTGCTCACTTGGACTCAGCTCTTGTCCCGCCTGGTTTGGCTGAGTGACTCTGTGATTGCCATTAAGCCCCGTCACAGACCTGCCTTGCTGCGTGTTCTGGCCTTTTATTATTGCATTTTGATGTTATCTGGCCTTTCTGCCAACACAAAGAGGTCAGAGGACGGTAGGTGGTTGCTGGTGGTGGGTGCAGCCTGCACAGCTGCTGTGCTTTGCTCCACGCTGGCAAAGGGGTCTGAGGACGCTTTTCCCTTCCTCCAGCCTCAAAGGCCAGGTTGGGCTGGAGCACCAGCACTGAACGTGGGCTTTGTGTCTCCATGGCCTGGTGAGCCCAGAGAAAGCAGGCAGGGCTGAAAGCCAGAGGATGAAATGCCATCCACCCCTGTGCAGTGTCCAGCCCCAGAGGGATGGGAGGTGGGCTCCCCACGTGTGCTCAGGGCCAGGCTGCCCCTCGCCTTTCATCTGCTCCCAGGGCTGAGTGAAGTGCAGCCAGACCTCCCAGGAGGAATAACATCCTGCACCGTGAGCCATGTGCAGGTCCCTGCTCAGGCCTGCTCCCCCTCCTTCTGGCTGCACTTTCTGTTAAATTGAAAGCAGTGGATGGGCCGTGGAGTTGGCAGGCAGGCTCTGTTTGTTATATTCTCCACCTGGCCTTACAGTCATGAAGTGAGCTCAGAGTGCTGAGCATTTAGGGCAGAACACTGGAGATTGCTGGGCTTTGTAATGTTTACTTATTTATCTTGATTTAAACTGATCTTGCTCCAATTCTGCCAATTGTTTGGACTTGGACCCGTTCTTGGGAAAACTCTTGTGTGGTTTTGGATAGGGGCATTTAACTAAGCTGTTAAAGCTTCCTGATTTCTTTCAGTGCTGCAAACTGAACATTTGCAGTTTGCTTTTTGCTCTAAATGGTTGTCACTAAGGGCCTCTAAGTTTGCTTGGCTTTGCTGGGAATATGGTAGAGATTTAAAGGCCTTTTTCTTCCTTGAATCCGGGGCTGTTGTTGCATCCTGTGTGACAGGATGACTCGGGGGCTGCTCCTGCCTGGACAGGATTTGGGAGCCCTGTGGGACTTGCAACATTAGGAAGTCCAAGTACCACCCGCTTTCCCCGTGATTTTTTTCGCAAAGGGAGTCACTGGAGCAGAACTATTTAAACATCTCAGTGTCACTTCACGATCCTCCCACTTATAAGTGGGAATAGGTGGTGTTTTTTTCCAACTGGAGCCATTTTTTGGACAGCTTTGTCTTCAGTACGGTTTGGGATCTAGACCTGAAACTTTTCCATCTTTAGTTCCTATTTTTTGCACGAGACTAAGACGAACTGAATACCAATGGGAATAGTCAGTGGCAGATAAAATAGCAAAGAGGAAAAAAAAAGCCCTGTTACATTCTTCTGATGTAAATTTTTAATCAAATGTATTTTCTTCTGTTAAGCAACTTTTACAGCCCACTGCACAAAACATACAACCAAAAACCTTTGCACAATGAACTGCATGTAATAGGCTAGCAATGCATCCATTACACGTTTTTAGGTCTGTAATGCATTTAAATCCATTTTTGTGTGCACGGCAGTGTAGCCTTCAAAAGATAATTAGAATTTGCTCAGTCTTGCTTTCATAGTTCCTTAGGTTTTCTTCGGATTGCAGTGCTTTGGAGAGCTTCATTAGAAGTGGTCTTTTCTGTAACAAGAAGGAAATACAATTTGAATACATTAGAAAATACGGCTCTCAATACCTTAGAAAGCTGGAAGCTTTGTATCAAAATCTCTAAAATGACTGTACAGCCATTGGTATGAGTGAACACCGTTTTTCAGCACAGCTGGATTGAAGAGCTGGTAGATGGTAGAATAGGTTGTAATAGCAGTGATAATTACATTAAATAACAGTTCTCAATCTGAATAATAGGTGAGTTTTGTAGCAGGATGTGGATGTAGCAGTACCCTTTCTACTGGTGACCAGACTCAGCACTTGTCATCACCATTTGTGTGTCTTCTATATGAGGACTGGGGCCTCTGGTGGTCTAGTGGTTAGGGTGCAGGACTCTCACCGCTGCGACCCGGGTTCGATTCCCAGCCCCCCGGGCAGATGGAGCTCGTCAGCCCTGTAAGGCAATCCATGTAAGAGAAGGTCACTCTAAACAAACCTACGTTCTGAGACCCTCACTGCCACTGTCCAAGCTTGCTCGGCCCCGGCAGATGAACCTCAGGATTAAAGGGTGGGCTCAGTTCAGCGCACGCTGGGTCTCACCTAAAAAATCCACTGCGCAAGCTCGAAGGGTTAATGACCTTTCCCAAATCTTCGCTCGTGAAGACTGGCCATTATATATGAGGACTCCTCCCAGGGGGCCCTAATTTATACACCCAGGTCCTGCCTTGGCCTCCCCACCGACCATTCAGGCCTCCAAGCAGTCCTCTGCCTCCATTTCAGCATATCTGTTCTAAACTTCCCAAGCCACCTGTGTTTCAGGACTCCAGCTCCCCTTTGGCATCTGCCCACACACTGCTGGGCTGGACCTTGCTGAACTCTGCTCCAGGGTGCAGTGAGACTGCTACTGGTTGTAGCAATCCTGGCAGTATTGGAGGCATCTGAAAGTGTTGTTCTTTGTGGTTTGGTAGAATCACAGAATGGATTGGGTTGGAAGGGACCTTAAAACTCATCCCATTCCACCCCCTGCCATGGGCAGGGACACCTCCCACTAGCCCAGGGTGCTCCAACCTGGCCTTGGACACTCCCAAGGATGGGGCAGCCACAGCTTCTCTGGGCAGCCTGTG